AGCAGAGAGAGGGTGAGGGAGGAAGACAAACAGTATGGTTTGAAGTGGAGGGAAAAGACAAAGAGTCAGATTTAGAACTGAGTTTAGGAAAGGAGGGGGGTGAGAGAGAAAGAACGAGACTCAAAGAAAAACAGACTAAAGAAATGAAAGAGGATGAAAGAAAATGATTCAAGACATTTGGGTTTTTTTCCTCGTGTGTCAAATGTTGAGAAATGTTGAGTGAGTTCAGAGTGAGAAACCAAGAATGGAAGACTCATTAATGAGAAAGGGTCTTATTAATGTTGGAACTAGTGTGTTTAGTCTTAACCATTGGCTTACTTTTATGTAAGTGAATTAGACTCAACATGAAGAACTGAAGATGAGTCGTGTCCGGTGCAAACATTTACAGTACTGTGCAAAAGCCATGGATCACCCCTCATATCTTTATATTTCACTATGAAGAACTGAAGGAAATAGGTCGAGCGTTTTACAGCGTGGTATGATCACCTTTATTCTTCAACACAGCCAAAATATAATTTAAAATTGGTTCTTTGCTAAGTAGACACAACACTGGTATATTCCATATACTGTCTGGAATCATTATCATGCTAAAATGAAACCAATCATGTGCTTTTGGGTAGTTGTGGAAGGTGGATCAACATCTGACTGTGCTTTTCTGTGTGCTTTGACAGGATCCTCAACACCACTGGCTGAAATTCAACCCCAAACCATGGCAGAGCCTCCACCATGTTTTACAGATGGCTATAGATGCTCATTGTTGTAGCTCTCTCCTGACCCCCTTTTATATATCGATGATGATTTGAACTCAAAATTTAAAATTTACATTCATCACTCCATAAGACCTGATTTTCAGTCCAGTTCTTATGAACTTTCCCCATTTCTTAAGAACAGCTTATTGTCAGCCACTCTTCCACAGAGACCATTTCTAGTGAAGCTTCAGCAAATATTAGATGAATTAACTGAAGGGTCGTATATATTCCAGGTGCTGTGTCAGATCTTTGCTGTGGTTTTT